AGCTTTTAAATATTTGTAACGTTGAACAAAATAGATCTGAATGTATTTTTTGCTCTTTTTGATTTGAAATTTAGTTTTTAAAATTCGATTTCATTTTTCCCTCTCACAAAAGACATCTGGAGTTTCTGGATTAGATACTGTAACATACACAATGAAATAGGAAAAAAAACATAATTTTAAATTACCTACTGTTTCTGTTAGCGCCTGGCCTTTATCTCATTGTAAACTACATTCTTATATTTTTCTGTGTTAATAATTCTAGGAGCTTATCCTTCTTTTACGATAATTAGTTTTCTTTGATTATTTTAATCGATCATTCTGCAAGAAAAAAATATACAATGTGTAGTCTACGCTATGTTCTCTACATAAAGTATTTTTATAGAGGTCAGAAAGTGGGCTCCTATCTAAGACTAGGCCCATTATATATATTTGTTAATCTATAGGGCCGTCTACATCTTATTCATCTACCCTACGTTAAAAATGTTTTCTAGATGGTATGCCATTCTGTCGTGTAGTGACGGGTTAAGAATACAGAGTGTCACCGCCCCTATTCATCCCGTGGGTGTCGTAAGAGCCGGCTAAGGGAAAAAACTTGACACAAACTCTATACCAACCCGCCTGGCCAGCGTGGTATAGTAGGCCGAAACCTCCTTTGTAAGGAGAATCTTATGTCTAGCAGTGGACTATTAAAAGCTGTTGATGTGATGCCATTTTCTGTACTCTTAAAAATCTAACAACGGGCATTAAGGTATGAATATTACATTTCTGATAAAAGTAAAGTACAGTACATTTCTACTAAAGCAGAGCCTCCCAATCTTTGTCATACAGACTAAGTGCGGCAGATTGCTATGTTACTAAAATTATACTGTGATGTACTTGTGTAGTGCATATGTATGTCTAATAGTGTATGTGTGTATTCAGTGTGCTGTGTAAGTAATTATATGAGTTTGTTAGTATTTTATCTTGTATTGTACTATCGTATAGTACTGTAAAGTTACAACTCCTTGCCATGCCATCCGTTCGTTCTCCATCCGGCGGTTGCCTGGAAGAGATCGCACATCGCGATAAGACCGCCAATTGTACAACTGTTTTACTTTCTTGACGTAACTATCCCTAGATTAAAACACTCATTCAAATTTATACAAATTGTTCCATAATTATGTCCTTTTTTCTTGTACAATAAAGAGTTATCTATTCATCTATCTAAAATGTTACAACGTTACAAGTTATTTTCAAGAAAATATACGTACCTGCTGAAATAAGTGCTGATACTAGTATGAAAATAATGATTGCCAGTGTAATATATCAAGGCGCTTTATTTCATTTCAAATGTCCAATGTTATGTAGTCTAGACTGTGTGAGGAGTAGACATTCTCATAATTCTTGAATTTCCTCTGTTTCTCACTTTCTATGCTGTTTTTTTTCGGCTGGGATACTTTACCTACAACGGGAGAGTGTTTGCAATGCAGATATTGAACGGGTAGGTATTTTTGCTGTTGTGAGTGTCTACAGACGGTTTTTTATCAACAATATTTTAAATTATTCCATTTGAAGTGACACTCGAGTGACACAGTAAGGTTTTGAACGATTTTTACTATTTGATTTGATTTTTACTTTTGAACGATATTATTCTTTTATAAGCAATAACTAAGCATCCATGTGGTGATGGATTTAGAATACAGGTCACCATCTCTATTCATCCCGTGGGTGTCGTAAGAGCCGACTAAGGGAACAAACTACGCAGGACAACAGCACTGCAAAGAAAATTAAAACTTGAAACAAACCCTATACCAACCCGTCTGGCCAGCGTGGTATAGTAGGTCACAAGCTCCTCCTAAGGAGAGGCCTATGTCCAGCAGTGGACTAGTAAAGGCTGTTGATGAAGCATTCTTTGATGCATTAGTGACTAAAGCAACAAAATCCTAGATTCGATTGTTCATTTATTATTTTATTAGTTCATTTATTCATTTTTAGTATAAAATAAAGTAAAAACGAAATTGTTTTTTTTCATATTTTACAAAATTAAATAAAGACATTTTTTTAATTATTTGGTAATTCAATCCAAAATGCGACCGCCTCTTTTGTTTAAAACTTGTCGGCAACTATTTTTAGTTGAAATGTTCAGTTTGTTTATCTGATCCTGCGAAAATTGCTCCCAATGGAATTTAAACAAGTCTTTCAATTGTTGGGTTGTCGACACTCCGTCCAAGTCCTTTAGAAGTGGAGTATGTCCCATGCGTGCTCGATGGGGCTGAGATCTGGCGATTGTGCGATTGTGGCCACTTCGAACATCGGCTGACGTCTTGCAGTCAGATGGATGTATTGGTCTTGTCAAGCAGTTGTACCTCCTTCCATGTTCTGGGTGCGGCTCAGCAGGATCCGCTGTATTAACATAACGCTGCCAAAGACGACAAATCAAGCTCCTATTGACACCAGTGAACTCCTTGTGAATTTTTTCCCGCTTGTAGCATTCCTACAGTTCTCTGTATTTCATCAGCAGTCAAATGGCGCCGCTCCATGACATTTTTTTTTCAAACAATATATCTCATAATGATAAAAATGAGATAAATAGCAAATTTATCAAGCAACGAAACGAAACGACGAAACGACGAAAATACATGAAATCGAGCAAAAGTTATTAGCCTTTATTTCAATAAAAACAAAACACAATCGTTTGTTAAAAAGTTTATATTTTTAAAATCAGCCAGTATATGTTTGCGAGAATAAAGAAGATTGTATACCAAACTGAGCTAAGACATTATCCACATTTTGCCGACAGTAATTTTAGCCTCTCTTACGGAGTAGGGGACAAGCCTATTCCGTAAGAGCCAAGAAATCAACTGAAACGATAAAAGGGATTTTTACTTTCAGCTTTATAACACATGTAAGAACATCATATACATCCGACACATATAAATATTTTAAATCAGAAAAAAACAATTGGTTTTACTTTTTTGATCAATCTATAAAGGCCCTTGATTTTGTATTAGGCCAAATCCCGATGAATCTGCTGCCTAGTGAATCTATCAATCTATGTAAAGACCTTTTAGGTATACTGATTTCCATGTGATGTTTCTTTTGTTGTTAAAACCAGCGAATACACGTTACGTTTTAAGGCGCACATGAGCCTCAAAAAGTTGGAGGTAAGCGACCCACGATGTTCAACTCTAACGGCCTCTGTAACCGGTGATTATATCACTCGGCTATCTCTGCTTTTATAATATTCAATCTTGTGTGACTCACCGCACTATCAGACATAGGTACATGAGGAGACGGATCCGAAATGATGGCCACAGGAATAAATCTTATGTTGCAGACTTATGAAGTTTCATTCTGTCCACTTAATAATTAATTATTAAAGCGATTCTTAACAGTTGATAATTCATATTTAATAGATATGTTTTGTTTCTAATCTTTTTTTGAGGGTAAAAGAATCTGAAAGACGTGTTATGAATATTTATGTAGTTTTGTTAAATCTTACTGAAGCGGGTAATCAACCTTCCACATCGAGCGGTCGAGTGTTTCATATAAAAAAGTGCCAAATTGATGCACTTCGCTTTCAATTTTGGTTTTAGGCGCAAGCGCAAGTTTAGGCTACGTTTGGAGACAGAAACGGAGTATGTCACAGGAGTAGGCACCCAATGTACGCTTGGGCTCGATATCATTATAAAACCATAAAGACTGATTTTCATACCCGCTTCATACCAAATCTATTTTTCTGCAATTCAATGATATAGTGTCATGGATTTGTTCTCGTAAAAGATTCGGCAGGTTTCTAGTTTCCACAGTGCTAATTGTAAAGAAACTCCCTTAAATACCAATTTGCAAGAAAAGCTTATTTATTTATTTTGCTTTTTGTTTCCAATTGGAGATAGAGATCTTGTCGTCACTCCTTCGGGCAGTTTCAGTCTTCCTGTAGACACTCTTCAGAGACTGTAGAGTCATTTTAGTTTTTTTTTTGTAAGACCATCGCCGCCCATGAACGTCTGCAACTCTCCTGAGTTCCTAAAAGGCCGTTTCCTTAAAGGCCTTTTAGGAAGGAGTACGCTTTTTCTTGAAGGTTTGAAGGTCATATCGGTCTAGAAATAACGCAGACGATAACCCGTTCCACAGATTGGTTGTTCGGGGCAAAAAGTGTCTCGAAAAGCGCACAGTAGTGGAGCGCCAACTATCCAGGTTACGAGGATATAGAAATTGTTGCGGCTGGTATCAGTCAACACTGTACAATTCCTCCATTATATATGTGATACAGAATGCAGAGTGAAGCATCATCTCTACGTAACGCCAGGGGATCGAGCCGATCGGAGATGTTCGGGCTTTCGACTATTCGAGTCGCTCTTCGTTGGACGCGGTCCAGAGGCAGAACTAAAGGTACTGAGGTGCCCCTGCGTATAGATGAGAACAGTATTCCATATGAGGCCGGACTTGCGCCTGATAGAACTGAAGGCGGTGGGTCGGAGTAAAATACTGTGTAAAGTTCAAATAAACTTTCCCATTCGGTCACCGCGAAGCTTTCCGATACTTCGCTTTCCGTCCCGGACTTGGGGTATAAAGGTACATTTGTGTATGTACGATACAGATATATGGAAGACAGGAAAATATAACACATATTTCTATAATGGCTTTTTGTCTTTTGATAGAATACGGAATGCCATTAGGTTAATAACATACAGAAAATACATCAGTGAATCGAATCGCTGAATCGAATAGTTATCTTTAATCGATTATTATCTGTCATAAGAGAAAGAATTGAACTTGTATTGCATCTGTAGACTAAGTATAGACAAAGCATGATTTAATAGGTATATGAACTCAGATCGCAATCTTCACCTCTAAATCAAGTTTGAGTTTATGAGATGGTTCATTAACCTTCGATGTAGATAATATACCATCGTAAAGTATTCGTCCATAGACCGTATATAAACCGTTCATTGTGGTCCTGTCGTTTATTTGTAATAAGTGTTTTAATGACTGTAAGCTCATATCGGACTAGATCAAATATGTTTGTTTGGAAGCCTTTTGTACTCTTGGTTGCTGTGTGCTGTACTGTAGATGCAGTGCCTATTGTTTTCAAAGGTAAGTTAAAGCAATACTGAATCAAGTGTTACTATTGCACAATTAATAAAATAAAATAATAAAATAAACGGTCATGAAGGTTTGTAGTTAGTGTAAAATTAAATAGAGTACAAATCTACATTGTTCATAGTGCTTTTTTTTAAACAGTGGCAATGTTTTATTTTTGTGTTCGTTAATTTAAATTTCGAACTACATATGTATCCCTGGTTGTTTACAAAGCCGAGTGTATAGTTGATATTAAGAAATTTTTTGTTGTTTCAGAATCTACTCCTAATGGAGAAGCAATTGTTTCAATATCATCATCCGATCCAAACGTTGAGAAGTATCTAAGTCAACAGTTTTCAACACGATCAGGATTTACTCAAGTTGACACACAAGACAACTATCCCAATATCCCTGGTACAGTCCATTCTAGCTTCAGTATAGCAGTACCTGGGAAGGCTATTGCAGGGAACGGTAGAAGTTTTGCTTCTGCATCAAGTGGTCCATTTTTACCAATATTCGCATTCCCAATAAACCCGTTCAGTTCTAACGGATTTCCTGAATTTAAAAATTGGGTAAGAAATTATGAAGGCTACTATGATCCTAATTTTGCTGGTAATGGGCAGGTCCATGCAGCCGCGGCAGTCAATGATAATGGTCATGTGTATGGTAAAGTGAATACAGTGGCATTTGATAACAAGGCCAAGAACCCGACAGTCTATAGTAAGAATGTTGAAAATTAATTATATAGATAAATAGAAAAAGAATACGGTTGTATACATAGATATAAACACTTTTGTAATAAATAAAAAAATATTTAAAAATCACCATTGTTTATTGATTTTTCCTTTCACATATGAAATACAAAGATATTGAGACAAGTAACTAAAATAAATATTAAATATAGTCGTCTCAACATCTTTTGACATGTTCACAAATGATTTAGTAGAAACCGGTCTGGACAGCATGAGAGTGCGCGGCTTGAATACCAGGGCCATTGATGCTGGTAGCACCGCTGTGCTGCAGTGCATGGCCACGCTGTTGCACAGTCTGGGCGCTGCTAGCTCTGTATGGTCCGTGTTGCTCAGATGCAGATACGGCCTGAGAGTTGTATCCGAGACCGGCGATGCGAGCGGATGAGATGGAATTACTGTTTCCGAATCCATTGTGAGAAGCAGCAGAGGAAGCAGATCCAAAACCATTGTTGGCGGAAGAGATTGCAGACTCGTATCCCAATCCACGGAGGTTTTGTGCTGATGATAGAGCTTGACCACCCGCAGCGTTAGCGGAAGAAACAGCTGAGTTGTAACCACCGAAGTTCTGCGAGGAGGCGACCGCGTTTCCGTAGGAAGTACGAGGACTGTTATAAGAAGGATAGGCTTGGTACACCGGGTACGAGTTTCCAGAGCTGGCGATGCCTACGCCGCGGGAGAAGCCACCATTAGAGGATCCGATGCCACTGCCGTATGCTACACCATCGCCAGAGTTGAAGGAAGCACCAATACCGGTAGACTGTGAGAGACCACCGACATTACTGCTAAAACCGCTTCCGAAGCCGTAAGAGATACTTGGGGCACGGCCGACCCTAACGATGGTTCCGGGAAGAACATCTGCAAGAAAATAATATTTTTATTACTATTTATTTAATTTATAATTTTCATTACCCAGACAAATTAATATACACTGGCATAATAACTAAGACGCATGTCGGAAAATCATTATTACAATAAGATATAATATCAACGAATAAAAGTACTTAAATAATTATGTCCTGCATGTATTGATAGCAGATCAATTACGCAATTAGAACAATAGAATCAAGATATTGCTATTATCTCATCAACTTACCATTATACCAGATAGGCACAGCATTGCAAGCAGCGAACAAGCAAGCAAAGACAACGATTTTCGAAGCCATCTTTGTTTCTTTCAAGGATGTCTAAGCCTTGCACAGGTGGTTGTGGATACTTGTCAAACATTCCCCTCAGTATATATACTCAATGAAATGATACCCCCACTCAACACGGACTAGGTCACCACTACAGAGAAAGCAACTCATAAGCAAAATTTATCTAACAAGTTACGGTAAAATTTTTTGATGCTTCCAGGTGATCCGATATCATAAATTCCTTGTAGGTATCGCCATTATTGAGAAAACATCTGATTAATTGGAGGCAATAAAAACATTTGAGAAAGAAAACTATAGCAAAGTTACAAAATTAGTATAAATTTATCATTAAAACGGTTTACGAGAAGCGGTTTTAGCAGTTTTAATTAAGATTTTTGTACAAAAATCCTGGCATATTTCTTATAAATGAGATCATTTAAGTTACCAAAATTGAATAATATACAAAAAATTCAAATAAAAAATTGCCTTTTCATGTCTCTTAATTTTAATGACCATTCGAACATAAATGATACAGTTTTAGAAAAATATATCTTATGGTGTGTTAATTCTTCATTTGCATAGAAAAGGTGGTAAAAGATAAAATATCACCGCTGCCGTAAAAAACACAGTGGAGTTTATTCTTAACGGCATTCATCATTTTGTGTATAATTTTTATATGTATTATTTTTAACAAAGACTTTTTTTGTAAGGGCTTCTAGCGTGTTGAACATTTACAGTTTGTTATATGACATTATCTACATTTTTAAGTGAGGTACAAGCGCATGACTCGTTGGATGATAGGCGATTACCGGCGCTTATTACATTAAGGTGGCAAATAAATGGTGTTAGGAGTAAGCATTTGTAGAGGGTCTATACAATGTACAAACTGACACTAGACACTTCATACCCAACCTAATATATCAGAGCTCTGATTAAATTATCAGAATTCAGGTCGCAACCAATTTGATTAAATGCAAACTTCTGTATGATATCGGTCGAAGATCATGAGGGCTCCACCAACTTGGGCTAAACTCTACGTTGCCATATCTCCTAAGCAAAAAAAAAAACAAACTCTAAAAAGTTTATACGTACAGTGCCGTACTGCTTTAAATGCCTTTAGATACAATATTTTTCACAGCAGCGTAATAAGGATTTAATAAAAATATCTAAAGACATTTTATCTATACAAATATTTACTAACATCCTAAAATATAATTCTTAGTAGTTACTACCTATTCAAACTAATAGCTTGTAATCTGTATGTAAAAACACGGATTTATGTATCTAATTTTCTGTCTGTATAAACAAAGACTGACTACTAAACCGGAGGTCGTGGGTTCGATTCCCACCCAGGACAAATATTGTGTGATGAGCACGGTCATTTGTTCTGTGTCTGGGTGTAATTTATCTATAATATGTATGTATTTAGAAATATATAAGTATGTTTATCAGCGGTCTGGTTACCATAGTACAGGCTCTGCCTAGTTTGGGATCAGACGGCCGTGTGTGAGTGTGTGAGATATATTATTATTATTTTATTATTATAATAACAACTAATAATAATAACTACTCATGAAGTTAGATAAATTTAACAACGCAACTTTAAGCATTATTCTTTCGCTGTGCCATAAGGAACTAGGAGAATAACAATAATTTCAACATTGAGCAATAAAGTGTTATTTAGTAAAGACTAGAGAACACTTTTTTGCTCAATATTGCTAAATGTTGCTTGTGCTCCCTTCAACTCATTTTACCAAGGACGTAGGTAAAGCCTTTTTTTTGTTGACGAGGTGGAAAATCCCTTTGGATCTCCTGCTCCTCGGGGATTCATTAGCCAGGAGTATGTGGAGATTCCACTAAAAACCACCCCGACGGCCGGCCTCAGGTGTCCTACTCTGGGGAGGACCTGGACCATGTTATTTCAGGTCCACCTCGAATTGACATGCCTAATCAGGCCCTATCCTAGGTGAAGGTAGGTAAAGCCTACCTGATGAATGAATGAGGTGAAGATCCGAGTTATAAAAGTTCTAGCCTAAACAAATGTCCTTCGAGACCTCCTACATGGATGACGCTTCTCAAAATTCAAGTTTACATGTTAATATACAATTTTTGTGAGTGTATCTTTAAAAAGTTGTATTGTTCGACTAAAATGCACAAAAGTAACAAAACAGCTTCGGTATTCGACATTAAATTATTTCGAACCTGACTAATGTTTACCTAAATGGATAAAAATCGACCTATTATATTAAAAGCATGTTAAGTATTAGCAATAACGTTAAATTTACGATTTTATACCACAAGACGCTAGTAATAAGTATGTATCATATTTAGAGGAAATAATATATGATATAATAACTCGTCAAAAATTAGTGTTACCTTTCAAGCTTAAGATTGTCAATCATATAAAATGAGTGGTTTTCCTAATTCACAATATCGAGTTGCATTTACATGTTTCATAAAATTGTCGTAATTTAAAGATTTCATCAATTCATATAGATAAATATTTAATTTAAATAGGTTCAATGACATCACGCTCAGCGCTACAACAGTCCAGACTTATAATAATCTAGTTTTGATACTTAATTATTGAATCAGATTATTTATTAATCTAGTTTAATTATAGATGCAACGCATAGCTTCCAAAATTCTTCTTGAATTGTTGTCATGAGGCATTTTAAGTTTTGTTTCTCACGAATGCCAAAAGGGAGTCATTTACAGATTATTGACTTTGAAATGAACTAGTAACATTGGGTAATTCACGAGTGACTGCTGCAAGACCTGACCTGACCATATCTTTAGGTGCGGCGTTTATTATATATTCCTCTATTTTTTTAGCAACTTGGACGAGGATCGAACCCACAACACTCCGTCAACTTAAGTTGACCGCTTAAACCACTGCGTCACCCGTGAAGTCATGCATTGTATATTTATGTGAGTTTGAATTCAGAACTGAAGATTACCTAGTTATCCATGCCATCAAATGATCGATATTCCATTATCATTTTATAATAATTTTAGAATTAGTTTTAAAGTACCAAATTATCAATTTTGAGAAACACTTACAAGAGTACTTACAAAGAGTACTTCCTTCCTAATTGGCAGATGTCTTTTATGACCGGTCGACTATCACATTGTGAATGTCATCATTTCGTACAGTATAGTATAGTAACCTGTATCTAACATCATGTATCTAAAGTCAACTGAAAGGCTGAAACAAGGGTATTTACACGTTTTTTTTACGTGTGGCAACCCCCTCGGGCCGTCACCCCACCGGGGTTTGCGGCGGGGCGATGTGTTGGAATCGAACCGACTAAAACCACACGGTGTGCCACTCTGCGCTTGAAATAGGAGGGATCCGGGAACAGCGATTATTACGACATCCGGACCCCTCCTAGCGCCTGCCGATGTCATACCTAGCTCAAGCCGATTGCAAGAGACATTGTAATATTTTGATTTTACTTTTTTTCTATTCACTTTTGCACATTTTAGAATAGTCATATACCTATTAGTTTTATGTTAGCTTCAGTAATAAGCTTTATTATACGCTTTATATTAGCTTCACTTGTATGTTTGTTTGTAACCGACTCCTTTGGGCGTGATTTTGATTGACTTTAAACAGTCAGAATTCGTTCAAATGTGTAGATATATCGAGGACCGATGACAATACACTAATTTAAAAATAAAATAAAAAAAAATAGTTTAAAAAACCAAAAATACGCTTTTTATAGAAAACCAAACTAAAAAATAGAAAATAAATTTTAATAAATTTGAAAAAAAGTGTGGGGTGCTTTTTACTACTGATTACTACAACGATTTTTTTTCAAATTCATTAAAAAAAAAATTTTTCTTATTTTTTTTTTAAGAACCTAATGACAATAAGATGTAAATCATATACAAAATGTAACCAACAACTTATTCTGGACATATTTTCATTTTTATTTTAGGACTTATAAATGTGAAAGTGAGTTTGTTTGTTTGTTACGCTTTCACGCCTAAACCTACACCATTAAACCGATTTTACACGCGGGAGGAGCCGCTGGCAAAACCTAGTCGTGAATAAAACTACAAAAATATCCGGACGTCGGTCATTGACCTTCCGTGCATTACCAAAAAATACAATATAAAAATGTCTAATACATACGTCTTTGATACCTTTATAAAAACTTAATGCTCATCATGATCGCTACAAATTAATTTACGATCAATAAATATATCAATCGAAATGAAATACTTGTTCATTTACAGTTAATTTTGTAAGTTTTTTTAACATTTAATCATAAATGCTCCATTATTAATCATGACAAATATCAAAATACATTATTGATAGTTTTACACTGTCCTATTTATCAGGGCTTTGCATATATTATGTACTAGCTTTTGCCCGCGCCTTCGCCCGCGTGTATGTCGATTATCGATGTAAAAAGTAGCCTATCTTACTCCCTGATAATGTAGCTTTCCATTGGTGAAATTGTTTTAGTGGTTTAGGCGTGAAAGCGTGAAAAACAAACGAACAAACAAATTCACTTTCACATTTATAATAAAGTATGGATATACAGCTTTAATATATTTGATCGATGACTGTACTGTATTTTTTTCTGTAAACAGGAAATGTGTCAAAATTTTAACGAAGAAGAAGACAAATTGTTTTGTATGAACTCTCTGACTTTAGTGTAAGATAGATGTCTTAAACTTAAGCACTACTCGTATATCTGCTTTTGTTAATTTATGGACAAAATGTCATCATAATACATCTCATCTAATCAAATCAGGATTTGATTGACAGACGATAAAGTGGTTGCGAGTTCAAGTCGAACATTGCCGCTCTATGAACCCACTCTTTTTATATGCGTACTGAAACGCCCTCGGACCGTCATCCTACCGGTTTTCGATGAGTTGGTATTGAACCAACTAAAACCACACGGCGTGCTATACGGTACGTACGGTAGTTACCGTCAGGTGACCCGTCTGTCCGTTTGTCCCCTCATAAAAACTGTATCCATCCATACTTCCATACTTATATTAGACTAGCTGACCCGCGCAACTTCGTCTGCGTCTCTCAATAGTAATAAATTTTCTCCGTTTTTAAAACATTCTTCATTGGTGCTCCGCTCCTATTGGTCTTAGCGTGATGATATATAGCCTATAGCCTTCCTCGATAAATGGGCTATCTAACACTGAAAGAATTTTTCAAATCGGATCAGTAGTTCCTGAGATTAGCGCGTTCAAACAAACAAACAAACAAACTCTTCAGCTTTATAATATTAGTATAGATATAAATGACCGAATTTGTTTGATTATTTGTAATGTTTTCATGCTCAACCACTAAACCGATTTTCAAAATTCTTTTCCCAATGGAGAGCTACATTTTTAGCGAGTAACATAGGCTACGTTTTACCGCGATTATCGACATATACGAGCGGAGCCGCAGGCAAAAGCAAGTATTTAATATTTATATGCAGTAGTGTGTTTAGCATATTTACTTCATAGCAAGTCTCATATTTCAAGTATCGATGAGGACAAATGTTTCTACAGCATATTTATGAATCGATATTAACTATTTATAAACCAATTTAGAAAGCCTATCATTTAAAGTTATGAATAGTTGTATTTAATCGTATGTGCAAAAAATAACATCAAAATATTGATATTCAAGTTCAAAGTAAATCATGAAACCTGATACATATGTTACTAGATTTGTCACTTGTATTATCAGTAACATTAATAATAATATTTTTTAGTAAATCTTGTGTTTTTCTTTTAGGGTCGAGACTCCTGGGGTCATGGGGTCCGAGTGCTATGAAGTGCTAGTACTATTTAACTTTTTTTGTTTTGAGAATTAGAAGAAAGCTGATAGCATTGCCATTTAGAATGGCAATATATTTAACGTGGTAATATTGCCAACCTTCTTGGTGACGATGCGGAAGCCTTCTTTTATCGCTTGGCTTGTAATTAATCCATAAGTTAAAAAAAAGTTAAATATTAAAATTTATTTATATAATAATAGGGGTTAAAGTATAAAATTGCCGTTGTATAGTAATAGATACTTTGAATTGACATAAGAGCAAAATGAAACAAGTAAAATCAAAATAGATTTTTTTTTTCTTACAATCTGCCTGAGCCAGGTACGCCTTTGCGGGCAGGCGTTAGGAGGGGTCCGGATGTCGTACTAATCGCCGTTCCCGGATCCCTCCTATTTCAAGCGCAGAGTGGCACACCGTGTGGTTTTAGTCGGTTCGATTCCAACACACCACCCCGCCGCAAACCCCGGTGATGTGACGGCCCGAGGGGGTTGCCACACGTAAAAAAAACGTGTAAAAGCCTTTCAGTTGACTTTAGATACATGATGTTAGATACAGGTTACGATACTATACTGTATGAAATGATGACATTCACAATGTGATAGTCGACCGGTCATAAAAGACATCTGCCATAATTAGAAAGGAAGTACTCTTTATAAATAGTCTTGTAAGTGTTTCCAAAATAATTTATTTATATAATAATAGGAGTTAAAGTATAAAATTGCCGTTGTATAGTAATAGATACTTTGAATTGACATAAAACCTTAGTGATGTGAGATTTTCGTGTTAAACTTTTTTTGCATGATACCTATGAGGTTCTTCTTTTAAAAATGTGCAAAATTCGATTTTTGAATTTCAATTGATTTTTTTATTCAGCTCAGACGTGAAAGATAGATATAATTCGAAAAGCCGATTAATTTTTTTTCCGACGCGTAACTAAACCCGGCAACAACAACGCTGCTTTTGAAGAGGACATTCTTAATGAACGCACTGTGCGATTTCGCTTTAAACGCTTTCATAATTGAAACTTCGACTTGAAGAATCACGTGGAAGACCCACTAACACGTTAACCCCTAAAAACATTATTTGACCATGTCCGTGTGGTGACGGAAGAATACAGAGTGTGACCACCCCTATTAATCCCAAGGGTGGCCGACTAAGGGAGCAAATTCTGCAGGATAACAGCACTGCAAAGAGAATAAAAACTTGAAACAAACCCTATACCAACACGTCTGGCCAGCGTGGTGTCGTAGGCCAAAACCTCCTTTCTAAAGAGAGGCCTATGTCCAGCAGTGCACTAGTAAATACTGTTGCAGTAATATTCTTTTGTACCATACATTAAACGTGCGTAATTTAGTTTATTATTTGAGCTCTGTTCGATTCACGGATCGCCACGCCATTTGAGCTATGTCACCTTACATTAAAACAGTGTATTTCGTCGGTCACCATTCCGTTAGTTTGTACTCACACTATCTAACGATGCCATTTAAGATTAAGTCAAGTTAATAAAAACCAGTTTAGTTTAACATCGTACTCTTTAGAGCCCGATTACTAGCCGAGTCACTAGCTACAACTAACTTTTTACTTTTGTTCTAATCGATTAAAATTCCCCTTTTAAATTAAATCGATAAATATTGAACATTTGATTGTCAACCTGTTGTGTTAACTAATCGACTACTTCATGAATTGTCAAAAAAGAAAATAAAAGAATGTCTGGTATTCTGTTTCAACTCTGGCGCATGGCCAAAAAAAAAACAGCATGCCTTCCCCAAGTATCAGTAGCCGGAAACCAGGTATACCCTAGAAAGGAAAGAGCATGACTACGGTTACAAAGAATGTAATCTAATAAAAATAAATAACCTATTTATTTTGTAACAGTCCGTTCTAAAAATTACAAACGCCTCACCTATGTTCTCAAAAATTAAAATAATGTGTAAATTTTATGATTCTGGGTCAACAATATGACAACCTCGCTAATAAAATATAATTTTATTAATTATATGAGTGTAATCTGAGAACTGGTTAAGAGAATTGTCTTAGAGATATTTTTGAATACAAAAAAGTTAAGTATTAAATTAGTGTACTAGGCTTTTATTTTAAAAATGGAAAAAGTATATTAAAGATGTTTATTTATAAAATAAATGTTTGTTTATAAAATTATGACTACATTATTGATTAATAAATCGCGTTAATTAACTTATCGATTAGACAAGTCAGGTAATTCAGGGGTTTTTATTTTTAGGGTTAAGGGTTAAGATTTTTACCGTGGGAGAACCATGCTTCGCCACGAATAGGTCGGCTCGACCGGAGTGATACCACGGCCTCACAGACAACCGGCGTTAAGCAATTCTCTCATTGCCTTTTACTGAGTGCGTGCTGGAGGGAACTCCAAGGGCGGCAACGCACTTGTGACTTTTGAGTTGCAGGTGTCAGTGGCCGGCGGTAGTTGCTTACCATCAGGTTACTCGTCTGCTCGTTTGCCCCTTATAACATAAAAAAAGTCAGGTAATTGAGGGGTCACAGTCCTATCACAGTGAATGTACATGGAACTGTGTGTACATTCTCGAAGTAATATTCATATCATGGTCATCCGAATAGTTATAGGAGCTATTGCGGAACATCTGGTCCTGAACCGACTGCTATTCACCAATTTGACAGACAGCTTCCTGTGTAAAGAGTGTCTTAAGGCATAAGAAACAGACGCCCACGTAATCCTGAAGTGTGAGGGAGTATCATTCCTGATGCAAAATCACTCCTGTAAGGCTGTGAACGGCCCAAAAAGTTTCTGTGATAGAATATGTTTAAAAGCTTAGTATTTTTAAATCGTTTTTTTTAAATAACATTTAAAATTGCTATATTTGTTTCAAAATCCTTTTAGGCACACATTAAAAATGCGAATATTTAAGCACTGTAAATTTTTTACATTGTGAATACAATTTTATTTATGCAAAAAATATAAATTAAACGTGTTTTAATGTTTATTTTATTATACACACATTACAAATTTAAATACATTTTACTATAAAAACAACGAATAAGTCATAAACACTTCTTTCTTTAATTGAATACTTATAAACTACTTAAATATCTAGCTCTTGGCACTAGCCACAGCACTTGATCGAGCACTTGCTCCACCCACACTTCGTTCTCCTTCGTCATAATCGTACCCATCATCACTACCTTGGTAACCAAAGCCGCCTTGAAAACCATACCCTCCATCAGAATCACCAGCGTAAAAGTTACCATTGAATTGATTGTTGTGGGCGTAATTTCCATTATCAAAACCTGGTCTGTAACCTCCATAGAATTGGTTGGGGTATCTATTGTATCCGTAGTTATTGTAACCGTGGTAACCATTATTAGGGTAACCCCCGTTATATTGATAGTTGTTTGGGTAGTATCCACTACCGTAACCACCGCCTCCTTCGTTTGCTGAAGACTGTGACTGGCTGATGGCAATGTTTATAGGAGTATATCCCTGGCCGTACCCACCCTGATGTCCTCCATATCCTCCATAACCACCATAACCCTGTTGGTGTCCACCGAAACCACCGCCGTATCCACCGCAAATCCCATATTTATAACAAAGCTTTTTCTTGATAGTGCGCGGGACTCTCACGAGGCTACTGGTGGCAGTTTGAACAGAAGCTTCTGGAAAGGAAAAGTATCATAAGTACTAGGAGTTATATAGAGTGAATAGGCGTTATTATCCAATGGTTTAACTGATAACAAGAAACGAACATTATCTCTTTCTTCATGTTTTTAACAAAAGAAAAATAATGACAGAGACCGTCGCAGATATTTACTTAATTATGTGTTGATGAGTTACATGTTAGATCCTAAATCAAAAATTTTAAAACGTTTTCTTAATTTTCACTTGTAACTAAGAATCTAAACGAATTTTGCAAGTTAATTTTAACCTACTTCCGATAACCGTAACTGAATGAAACTTGGTAGGTACATACCTACCAAATTTATAATTAATATAACAATAATTCTCAGACTATACGTAGGTACATATATATCGTATGTATAACAAATATAACAATTATGTCCCTACATATTGTTTAAATTATTTTAATTGGTATGTCTCAAAAAGTCTACATACAAAACTATAAAGTAAATTCAATTTGTACATTAATTAAAAAGTATAAAAAATATCGTTATCGAGTAAACGCAAATAAATTAAGAAAGAGGAAGTCTTAAAAAGATAGTACCTACACACCCTTGTCCTCATTCAAAGACCTTTCTGAGAAAACAGACGGCGTTAAGATAAAAACCAATTTTTTTTATGACCATGTCGTGAAATTATGTTCGAGAAAAGAAACACGATTTATGACATTCATATTTTTCGCAGGTCCGATAGGTACTTTGCTTAGATCGGAAATTATCCAGTTATAACTACTTTATGTATGTAGGTATATAGGACTCACGTTTTGAGAAGTAATTAAATCTCTCGATACTATGAAATTTGATAAGCACTTATAGTATAACAGTCTCGAGTTTCGAGAGATATATCGAGAGATATGACTGAATGTGACGTTATTTGAGCTTCAGTAAAGGTTTCAAATAACAGTTCAAGGACCGTTTACACACTTTAAAACGAAAGGACGCGTGTATTTTGTGATATTATAAATACAGAAGTGGTATGCTATGATAGTGTTGTCAGCCAGCGGTTTCAATGTAAGCTTTGTGCACGAAATGTTCCACTTATGTTGCATTTTTCTTAACGTGCATGATGTTAAACTGAATATCATGGAATCCTGTTTTTTTTTTAAATATTCAACTGGGTATTATCAATCTAATATTCGCATTTCATTATGATTAATTTTCGATATCCGTTTAAAATATTACCAACAACCAACCAGGTATAGGTAGTCAATGACATATTATAATATATCGTTTGTTCGTATTGTTTATATATCATTGTAGGTAGTAGTTAAAATAACTAGTTAAGATTTAATAGTTAAATAAGAATTATTTCTGCCCGAATTTAAATATCTTTTCTATTTTATTGAGTCCATATACAGTATTTCCTTCTAAATTTTAAAAATTAAATTAATGTTGTAAATAGATAGACTTGTGATAAAATTATCTAAATCAATCTACTGTCAGTATATTTTATATCCAAATTGATTTGCTCAGAAATATTAAATCATCGTCAATTTTATGATGCAATATGCGTTGAATGATATTTGTGAACTCAATATTTGTTACGGCGGCAGTGTGATTTTTTATTATATATTTTTTTCTTTTTTTTTCTTTTAAAAAGACGACTCCCGCATTACGAATATATCCTGTGTCGCGGGGACTTTACAAACATACATTTAACGGACACACAGAACACCCAGGCTCAGAACAACAATTTGTGGGGATCGGACCCACAACTACCACTTAAACCACTACGCCATCCGTGCAGTGGCTTTATTATAACGATGTAATAATTGCATTACAATATTTACATGTTCAAATTCGTAACTTAAAACTTATTTTTAAAACAATTACCTAATATACAAAGGAACCATTATACGCAATTATCTAACGGTCGATATCGATATTGTAAATTTTATGGAGTGATCGTGACACGCCAAGTAGATTATAGACTAATACTTCGATAAAAAATTACCACCTTCGGCTAGTATTGGGCTCCATCCCGCGACGGCAATGATGACACACAATAACCGTAGTTCAACCATGGTATGGTTTGTTTATGGTCTGTTCCGTTAAATGTGGTTTATTTTTTTGCGAAAGCAGTTTTATAGGTCGTTGAGACGAGGCCGTGCCCCACGCTTTAAGACATTGAGACTTTGTTAAGTAAAAATCCCACGGAAGTTATCGTGAATTTTTAAACAATAGTGTATCGGAAGTTCTGCTAAAAATATATAACGATATGATTAAAATATGTGTTTTAGCATATTAACAAGTTTATGAACGTGATCTTGACTTTCAAATTAAACTTGTTCTATCTTGAGTGAGTACAAATTTTGTTCTCATTTAAGTGAAACTGGTTTTTACAACTCAGTTGTCAAATAAACACATCGTTCGTCTCGCCTGGTAATAACGTCACTTGCCAATTTTCACAACAACATTGAGAGTAAAACGAGTCTTAATTTACGTAAGCGTCAACAGGGCTTGGTACGAGGAACAAAGTTTGTAATTTCATCAATTTGTTAGTATTTTAGGGGCAAATTAGAAAATAGGTAACCCGATGATAAGTGACTAGCGCCGCCCATGGACATCTACAAGTCACCTCGCCGCTTCCTACTGCTCTGCGTGTTGTGGGTATGCTTATCCCCACATGGGACAACACTGTGTGATCCACAAAAGTTGTTCTGAGTCTGGGTGTTCTCTGTGTCCGTTTCATGTATGTTTGTAAATTCCCCCGTGACACAGGAGGAGGAGGACTCTTATGAAAAAAGAACAAGGAATAAAAAAACAGTGGCATTTCGAGAAGTGAATACTTATATACAGAGATGTCGGTAACGGTAACAGTGTCGCGAGTTTGTTTTTTCCCATCATTCTAATGTTTCTGCAGGAGAAAAATGAAATAAAAAGAACGAATATTTACCCATGGGTTTTCCTCCTCCTGATTGCCAGACAAGCCGTCTCCAAGCCGAAGCATGTTAATACATGTCTCGCACAGTTAATATTCTTTTTAACTAGAGGCCAAAGCTCTTAGTGAGAGTACAAATACTTGTCTATTGGGTACCATTCTGAATCTTGAAAGCAACGGAATATGTTGCTGGCACTTTGAAGAGTGATTGCACAGTAACGTCTATTCGCCTTGCTCAGTTGAGCATCTAGTCCCTATAAATATTGTTAACCAACACTTACTAAATGTTGCCATTATTTGCACTGCACGGATGGCGTATTGGTTTAAGCGGTCGCCCCGCAGCTTCCTACTGCGCCGAGTGTTGTGGGTTCAAACCCCACATGGGACGACACTTTGTGTGATCCACAAATGGTTGTTCTGAGTTTGGGTGTTCTTTGAGTCCGTTTCATGTATGTTTGTAAATATATTTGTAATGCGGGAGTTGTCTTATAAAAAAAAGAAAAAGAATTTAATGTTGTTAAAAAAAATGTTGCCGTTATCAAACCTTACATGATTATTAGATTATTTTTGTATGTCGTTTTTAACTTTTGTTTTATTTTTGTATGCTGTGCTTTATGAACTAAATATTTTTCTTTTCTATTCTATTCTACTATTACCAAGATTGCCGTGTGTTTGTTTGCCAACTAAAAATACAATAAAACTTAACTGTACTTAAAAAAATACAAATGTTAACTTGTAGAATCCCAAATTAATGAACATTAATCAAGTTTTGAGTCTTAATAAAGCATCTCCTAGCCTGTTGGTGCAGTGAATAGTGATAATTACTACTGAGACAGGGGTCATTGTTCCATTTTGCATCGAGAGATGTAATAGAGTGATGAGCACCATCACTTGAACGATCATTAGTCTGTGTCTAGGTGTAATTTAGGTTTTCGGTCGGTTCGAGTCCGACATAGCCGCCTCACTGGTGGGTGGTATACGAGGGGATTACCGAAGGTGTAATTTATGTATTACTAACTTTATTGTCGCCCACGTATATTTCGGTTAAACTTCCACCCCTCTTTCTTTTACTCCCTTAAATTATTTCTGGAATAAAAAGTAACTTATGTTTTTCCCGGGACTCAAACTATCTCTGTACCAAATTTCATTTAAATTGGTTCAGCGGTTTAAGCGTGATGACAGACAGATAGACAGACAGACACACTTTCGCATTTATTATATTAGTATGGATATGTATGTGATCGGTTTTAGTAATATATACCTACCTATGTATAAGTAAACTAAGTGGTAACCGAGTCGATTAACACATTGCAAAGTTAGACAATCTTATCCAGGTCAGTCTATAGATGGGTGACCATCCGACCAAGCCGTCGACCCCGGTTGCCATACGAACATCTGTGGCAGTCTTTAGGAATAGTTGGAGCCCTAAAAAGTCCGCCAACAGTCTTTCTACAGAACTTCAATATCGCTTACTTAGGTTGTGAAGGTCTGATGGCCATCGCTCTTTAGCCGTATCGTAATAGACTTAAAACCGACCCCAACCGAGTTTGGGAAAAAGGGTCGGAGCAAAGTAGAGCAGGCTCTGCGTAGTTTGAGATCGGACATCTGTGTTTTACCTTTATTATTATTATCTTCCAGTTTACAAGAAGGTACAGTACAAAATTATAAGGCTCCGTCCGCACAGCGATATTCCACTGCGTGTTTATTTTTCGCAAAATTCTCGAATTCATTTTGTATCAAATCACATATTTTTCGCGCGATTTTTTTTCCGCCAGTGCGGATAGGCCTATGTAGGCCCATGTGTTACAGAATTTTGAAATAAAACGCGGGGTAACATATCGCTGTGCGAACGGGCCTAACGGCAATACAAGTTTTTACGGATGTTAATAATTTTTGAACAACATTTTTATTACATCTTGATTATACTTATTGCAGGTTTTACTACACTCTCTTATGTGTGGTCCTTTAACCTCGGTTCTTTGGAGTTATGGACATTTGTTTGATGATAGCTGTTGAGGTTATGCGAACCGTTAAATAGCAGAACTATGACCATAATATAACAACAGGTACATTTGGTTGAATACCACGAAATCTCTTTGAGTGTTTGTAGAGACAAAAAGGTTTAAATGTGTAAAATCTTTTCTCTGAATTTGCTGCAGTCAATGAGAGTTATTTAGAAAAGTAAACAGGAAGCCAGAGACGAGCCAGTTAAAAAACTATAAAACTTTGCTCTCGCATAAAACTCGCTTGTTTCGCTTTTTAGTAAAAGAAAACTTCCGCACCATGAATATATCATGTGGCGCGAGGGACTTTACTAACATTCATTTAAACGGACCAAAAGAACCCAGACTCATAACACAAATTTGAAGATCACACATGGAAACATATTGAGATCGAACCCACAATACTTAGCGCGGTAGGAAGCGACGGGGTGACCGCTTTAACTACTGAGAAATCTGTGCAGTTTAATATATTTTAGAATTCCCAGCTTCTCATTAATATGGCAAGAGATTTTATTTTACGCGTTACCGTAGAGTACATAAGTCAGTTGAGTGATAAAATGATTGAAAGAAGTCGGTTTTCAATTTTTAAAAGTATAAATTATTTAAACACAGTTTGTTTAATCGCTCTTTATCAATTATTAAACTAGCACCTAATTTATTCATGTTACCCTAATTTACAATAAAAGTGATTTAACTGTAAATAGAAACGTTATGTTTTATTTTTAAATTATTATTCCAGTTTTAAAATATCCTTTTTCTTAGCTTTCAAGTTTATAATTCTTTTAATCCTTAAGAGGACATAGCAGACATTTAATTTATAGCTAGCGGATCGAACAGAGGTAAACGTTCGCTTTTCGTTTTGGTAGAATAATTAGGTACCTTTCACAAGAAAAAAAGTATTTGTTTAATTTTTGTTTACATAGATTAGAGCGTCATCTATCTAAAGCTGTATGTAAATAAAACTGAAACAGCAAATGTGTTGCTAAGCGCAAAACTAGAGAACGGCTCGGCGATAAAAAAGACATTGCTCGGTGGTTATTTTGTTTATATTTTCGTTAAGGCACAAGAAAGGTTCTTAATAAGGAGGAACGAAAGATAAAACAATCCTTTTTTCCCACACAAACCATAGAGTAAATTAAAACATGTTTATGGGCACATAAATAAAATTGTATTTAAACCTTGCTGTCGAACATTTAACGTCAATCAAAACAATAGGATTATCTTTGGTATGCCTATAAGTTTATTAGGCTGTATGGATTTAATCTATGCCTTTTCTGTGAGGAAGCCCTCGGAGACCACCCACCAGTGGGTGATTATGTCGGACTCGAACCGACAAAAAACCGCACGCCTTCTACAAGTACCAGTAGCCGGGGAACCAGGTATACCCTAGAAAGGAAAGCCCTGGCACCCCGACGTACCTACGGCTTATAGATGACCCCTCCGAAAAGCGTGCGCGCTCCGTAGCGCGTAGCGCCACCACCCACCCCGGCCTGCTTCTGTAAGAGAGACAAATGGCCTCACTTGTCACTCTCTGACCTGCGTTTATGGATTCGGCACCAGAGGTTGTCCTGCGACCTCTGGCGCCTGAGGTGTCTGCGTTACCTGGCCTGCTGCTGCTTCGTTCTCGGGCCTGGCGAACCGGGAGAGTTCCACGACGGGCAATTGGCAGTTGGCTCTCGTTGGCTCCTTGCTGATCATATACAGGTGATCTCCGAAGCATCCTTTCCCGGTGATGACCTGCGTCAGTCGGTGTTAGAGGGTTCCATGATGCCTCTCGAGCCAATCCTCCATAACGGGTCTTACCGCCGCGGTAACGACGTGCCCGGTATAAATCTATGCCTGTCTAAAACAAAGTTACCAACGTGACCACTCTAAAAAACGTTATGTTTTTTGTTTTATCTATTGAACTGCGACAAGCCAATATCTTTTGACAGAATGAAGTCCGTCTGAGCGGCTAGTGTTTAAAAAAACGTAAAAAAGAAAGTATGAGCTTCGATTCGAAATTTAAATCTAAGTATCCAATTCCACACTTAAATACATATTCTTTTAAAAATTCAATCCAGTTGTATAGTGACAATCTCACGTAGAGAAGTTTATGTATATCTATTAATCCTAAAAATATTGAGAACATTATTCTTTT